GGGTTTATAACCAAATAAATAACAAGAGCCATTTTGAGGTGAAGTATCCTTAAAGTAGATGGTACCCTTCTCATTGAACAACATACTGAGGTCCATCGCATGCTATCCAGATCAATAAAGGTAAAAGTATTCCTTGAAGACACAATCACAATAGCATAGACAGATAGGTTACTAATATAAACTCTCTGAGAACACCATATACAAGTAGGAAGTCCTGAACTACATACTAATGCACCATCTTAAATTTAAGTATTCAAAAATAAATATTTTGATATCATATATAAACTTGTGATAATTCATCACTCACAAATACAGGTAAAGACGATTATAATTATAATTATATCTAACATAAAAAAAAATGAATGTGTTAAGTCACATACCATAACAATGAAGAATCTTACACAGGTGTGTATCACCTGCTAACGACATCACACTAAGTATCAAGAAAAATGCATATCTATAAAACTTTCAAGCTCCCCCATAATAAACACTATTTTTAATGAGAATAATGATTACAAGGTATATACAGGTGGTCTTATGTGAATGTTTCAGATTTTTGATTGTTAAGATCCCTACAACTTACTGGCAACTTCCCCGATATATTTTTAGACTGACATCTATCTACAGCTACGTATAGCTGATGGATATCATGTAGCTGTCTGTTTGTAGATATAAGGTGATCATCTGGTCAATTATTTATCAAACCCTTCTGGAGCACGTGGTTTTATATATTAATGGAGGTTTCAAGATGACTTTTTCTTATTTTGCTGACTTCAAAAAATTTCCAGTTTCTATCATCTTTGATATCTGATTTTGTGTTGCTGAAATTTATCCATATTACATATATACTGTATTTTATTGTATTTTCTACCTATTAATGAGTTTTCCTCCAGGAATCTCATAGATGTAGTTTAAACTCAGTATATCTATGCATGCAGTGATGTCAGATATATACCTATATTACACATATGTACAGCTGGCTCATCAATTTTAGAATGGCAGTTGTCTAAACCTTCCTAAGACTGATGTAGTGTTTTGAGGTACATTAAAATGTCTTTGTTCTTAAAATTTGAGTAGAAAGAGAGTGGTGTTAAGTTTGATTCTATAAAATTCATCTTAAAATTTGTAATCAGAGCTAATATCTTCCTTTCAACAATGTAAAGAAACTGAAATATAGATCATTTCATCTTGTCATATGTAAACACCTGGTATAAGCCAATATGATATCCATTACAATTAGAAGAAATACTAACAGGTGCTTTTTATCTTATTGTTCTGTTTGTAATAAGCCTATAATTAAACTTTTACCATCAATATCATTGTATCTTTACCCCTCCATACACCAATAGGTGGTAATAATCCCCACAGGAATCGTGTACCATCAATATGATTGCACCTTTACCGCCCCCCCCCCCATACACCAATGGGTGATAATCCTATAGGAATCTTGTACCAACAATATCATTGTATCTTTACCCCTCCATACACCAATAGGTGGTAATAATCCCCACAGGAATCGTGTACCATCAATATGATTGCACCTTTACCCCCCATACGCCAATGTGTGATAATCCTATAGAAATCGTGTACCATCAATATGATTGCACCTTTACCCCCCATACGCCAATGTGTGATAATCCTATAGAAATCGTGTACCATCAATATGATTGCACCTTTACCCTACAATACACCAACAGGTGGTAATAAGGCTATTTCCTGCTATTGTCTGAATTACATAACTGTTCTAGAGACTCTACAGAGACAAGTTACACCACTGATCTATTAAAGACCTTCATCATTTCTATTAGCAGTATTTACCAGACAAAAGGCCCATCCATACATACATATATCTCCATTTAGATAAAACCATGCTATCCATTATCCTATAACAACGCTCTCTCCAGAATTTAAATAAGAACTGCTGTATTGGCACCCAGTGCAGGACTTCAGTTGAATTGAGTTATTTCAACAATTAGTGAGTAAGATAGCAACAGGTTTGAAGAATGATCTGGGACTGTAAGGTTTTCTTATATTTCATAAATATTAGTTAAGAGACAAAATCTTACACATGTGTCCATGTGATATGAAATTTATCCATCTAATTAAAGAAGCTGATATATCTACTAAAGACTAACCACTTAACAAATTTATTTGAATCCCAGTTATAAAAAATTGGAACCAAAAATTACTTCCATTTAAGAATCTTCTGTACTATAATAATGTCTATATAACCCCGCACAGTAAGATGTAAACATCACAAAAACTTCCATGAAAGTAAATCTTACAATCAACATTGTGATGGACAACATTCTAAAATTCACAGAATTTAAGGGGAATATACAGTGTGCTTTCTTAATTTTTTTCCAAGTGTTTGATATTTGACAAGCGTTGTAGTACTTAAAATTAGACAATTCATAAAATTATGGCACTTTTTAAGACTTCAAACTAATTCTGGTTGACTCTCGTTGTTGTTACTGTCACCGTTCCCTGTTTTGATTGGAGGTAGCAGAGTTCATCACATGACCTTTTGGAACATTGTTTTTACCCACTGCTATGTTATGATTTCTCAATTGTATAAAGACACACACTTACATACTCCAAATGATAATGATATGAATTAGTGTTAGAACACTCCTGTTCCATTTTTAATTTTTTGATGTTTTTAATAAAATGATTATGCAAACTTTTCAATGTTACAATTAACAGAAAGTGCACAACATTTAACAGATATTTGAATGTTATAATGTTTTTTAAAAGTTATGAAATGAAAATCTAACCATTTAGCCCCTTTAATAACTACAAACCAAAGTTAAGATATTGAGAGTTTCAATAACAAATTTACAATATTGAGCCCTGCCCCTCTCTCTGAGATCAGATTAAACCCTCACCTAGAACTTCTTGAACTCTGAAAACTTCAATTACAATTCCAGATGAATGGAGCCTGAAATATTGCCGACAAGATGAATCCCAATATATACACCTCTATATCAAGTGTTATTAGTACAAAGTTTGGACTTGCTCATCCATTCATGAAAAAAAACTTGTCCAAAAAATTTCAATGGATGTTATCGCTAATTAACCTTAAATAGGAATCAAGGATTGCCTTATATCTTAATTCTACAATAAAACTACACAGTACTCCGTATCAAACGACCTCCATCTTAACAACTTTATAAAGCTCACAGCTCCATCAAACAGGTATTAATGTTTTCAAAATGAACTTCAATACCCCTTGTCTCTTTAGGTTACTGGGATCAAACAACTCTGCCTCAAAGAGTCCCTCCCTCTTTTCTTCAATACAACCCCCTCATTAAAAGCCCACAGACATTTTGGGTTGGGCGGACAAATTAGACCGATTCTGAATAATAAAACTCATCACACTAAAACCTGATTACTAACCAAAACCGTTTACAGCTAGTGTGACTTCATACACAGAAAAAACACCCTACAAAACTCCCTTGATAATTTACAGATGAAATCACATACAAAATATGTTTACATTAAATCTAGTTAAAAATTCAAATATCATTAAACCCGACAAAGATAATTATACAATCCTGAATAAAACCGATATTTTCTTAAAAGCGTGTGTACATTACATTAGAATAATGAAGTCCATTTTAAGTAATATTTGACATCAATGTAAAGTGATTTGTAACTTTTTGGTGAGCTAAGAGTCAATTAAATCACAAGAAACCTATATAGGTTCTCTGCGCTACAGTAAAGAAGCCAGTCAAGTAAATATCTTGAAATAATAAAAATAAAATCAAAAAATTTTACTCTTAACTGTTATTATCTAAGTCATAATTTGGGAGTGTTACATTTCAACAGTGGATTAGACGTATGAAATTGGAATCAATTTGATAAATCAAAGCTTTATTTGTTGATGATAAAGTTACAAAATCTTTTTATGACTTTGCAAGTGTTTCTTGGGTCATGTTTCAAATTTCAAAAGTAATTCGGGGCAAACAAATTAAACATGTAAACATGTTTAATATGAGAACATATTAAATAACGAAAAATAAAAATTTGATTCCTTTTCATTAAATCTCCAATTCTATCAAGATGATAGTGTAGATTTGTAACCTAGCTACAACAAAGGCGTTTCTTTGATGCTGGTGTAACTGTTGTACCTATTGTGTTGTAAGTAGAACCGCATGTTGTTACATCATACATCAGGCTAATAAAAGGGGTAACTGCCACATTAAAGACACCAAAAAGACAACTTGACAGGATATTAGACTTCCAAAATGTCTCTGTATATACTTCACAGCATTATATTTACATCTGACATGATGGTCTCCCATTAACTCAGTGTTTATCTGGATTATATTCACAGGAGTATAGATGCAGTCTGGACCACAGGACAATAACATGACATCATTTTGGCACCATGTTGACATATGTTACATCAACCTGTTGCACATGGCCACAGATGAACATACACTGATGAAATCAATTTCAAATTAGAAAAAAAAAGACCTGGTGATGTTTTAAATAAAATCTGAAATATAAATACAACCAATGAATGTCATCAGATGGTATTCATTGTCACATGAATACAATATGAGTGCCTGATAAATAATCATGACATCCTAATTGCTATATATTTAGATCTGGATCCTTAACACATTAATTGTGATCTGGATGTTTCAATCTTTGAAACAGACATAAAATATTGAGGACAACTGAACATTTTTGATTGGACATAAAATAAAAGGTTCTAGTTGAGATACTGCAAGATCAAAAACGTTTTACTTTTCTTTTATTTAAGTTTACTTAAATTCTGTCCATATCTTCCTTTATTAATACACCAACCACATCATTTTGTCATCTTTGTAAATATCATGCATTTCATTTACATAGTCACTTCTTCAAAGTCATCAGTCCAATAAACGGATATTTGTTATAATTTGGCGAGTGTATTAGTAAGAGTTTTTGATGGTCTAGGTAAATTTGTACATCTCAGTAGTATAGACAGGAAGTGGAATTATACTTACCACAATGTGCCTCATCAAAATTGTTCTGACAGTCATTGTCCCCATCACATGCCCATCTCTCTGGGATACAGATACAGTTCCCACAGGAGAACAGGTGGGGTGGACAGGTACATGGAAAACCTCGGATTTCTGAAGAAATAAAAATAGGGTAAACGTATAATTACATAATATATCTCAATTATAACCGATGGTTATTATCATCAACATTGTTTCCAGTTCTTGAGGATTTTAATGCAATATGTTGAAGGAATCGTCATGGTTGATTCAAAAATGTATGCTACCTTATAAAGAGCATTTCTGTATCGGAGTTATTTCCCTTGATTGGTAATCTTTGTTCAGTTAAATTTGATTTAGTACAAGTAAATTGTACATACATTATCTATAATGACCAAAGGTCAATATAAACATTTATAAGAAATTTTTATTATACATTTTGTGAGGATTCAGATGGAAAGTATCAAATAGAATCAATTGTAAAACTTTCATATTTTAAATATTCACGTGGCCTCACACAGAAATTACAATAAGAAATTTCAACAATATCTTAAACATCCCCCCCCCCACCCTGCCCCAACTCCACACATTTGGATGAAGTTGAATATTGAAATTTACCATGTATATACTGTAAAAGGGCCAGTGGGTTCATTCTGAGGACCTTTTAAAGATGGGTGGCACTATTGGTGCATGTATATGGCCTGAAGCCCATCATGTTCCACCAAAGGAAAGATGATGCCTGACTCCAACCCTCATACAAAAGCCATCAGACACCTTCGATGTTGCATCAACAAAGACATACATGACCTACTGGCTTAGGTTTCACGCAACAATTGAACCGAGCCAAGGGAGATAATGCTTAGTGCAATATACTCACTGCAAATTGAGATAATACATTGGCAGGTTTCCCAATAAAAAACTTGTTTATACATTTGGGTGAAGGACAGTAGTAATTACACAGATACACTTTTATTACATTAGGATATCGGAGTTTTCTTCATTTTTGCTCACCAACACCATCAATGACAGTTTGGCTTATCAATGGATGATAGATGTACATTCAGGCTGTATTTCTGGGGCGATGAATTGTAAAAATCAACCGGTACCATAAACATTGGAAAGATTATAGAGCTGGTAAAAACCTTCTAGCATTTGAGAGCTTAAAACTTCAAGGTAGAAATACTGGGAGTTTAATGTTGTAGCAGTTTGACACTGAACTTGAATGTTATGACATTTAGAGAGTGAAAATTAAATTTTGCTACAACACAATCTGACATGACATATCTATTTAATGCAACAGTTTGTTAATCAGTGGTAAAGTATTTGGTTTAGACACTCCCAGACATCATTTGAATGAGAAATAGACAATGATCAGGACCATAATGTATAACAACTGGTATTTATTTTTCTAACAGGTAAATTACTGGGGTCAATGACAAGTCCGCAGTAAAAGTAAATGATATGGGTCATCCAAGGACCCACACAGGCATAATGGTGAATCAATTATACATTATTACCAGTAAGTACAGCAATTACCAATAGACATTTACACAGCAACATGCAAGCCAATTCACTAATTGTGTAGGACACATCACTTTCTCATCCAGACTGTTAACATGTGCCTATGATCCACCTTACATTATACAGTCAATACTGCATCAACCGTAGATCCAACATTGCTGCCGTTTCTTTAGGTAACTTTATACAGATACCTCTACATCCATTTTAAATCATCAATTCACTGCTATCAAAGTGCTCTAGTTATCTCCCTTTATAAATGTATATCTGTCCATGGCAGCTGAACTTACATTTTCATTCCAGACCACCTCAATCTTATTCCAGGTCAAAGGCAAAAGGTCATGATCAATATCAAAACGACCTCAGTTTAGTACCTACATTGCTCATTCTCATTTACATTTATCTGCATTTATGTCATGACACAGAGCCCTTTTGTTTGAACCTACATTTTATACACTTTAAGTGAGATATTGTAATAGGAAACTAAACCCTAAAATGACTCAATAATTGTTTCGATACATTAATTAGTTTTTATAAAGCTGATATATTCAAATTAACAAGAGATCCCATCGGAGTTTGATCTTTCTTTGCACTTTAAAACTTTCATATTTTCACATATTTTTCTTATTTCCCTCTGTTTTTGCCTTAAATTATATGAAATTTGAAAATTCTTCTCAAAAAATGATATCAAACTGCAAAATTCAAGATTTTACCACCAACTGTTTTGTTTTCTGAACTGTCCTAAATTTTTGTAAAATTTGAAAAAGACATAACATTACTTGTGAAGTAATATTAGCAATAACAAATAAGATAAGAAATGATTAGAAGAAAATTGCAATTTTCGAAATCCAAGATTGCTCCATATCAACCATATTATTTTTCTGATCAGACCCAAAATCCAACAGGCACAACTAGGTAACAACTGGGCACTTCTGAAAAAAACAGCAATAACAATCATTCCTTTTCAAAATTCAAGATGGCTGCCTATCCCAAAATCAAACAGCTACAACTAAAGATGAAGGAAAACCTACATATGAAATGTGAGAAAGATCCAGTACTTCTCAAAAAAATATTGATAACAAACTTTAATTGTCAAAACCCAATATGGTTGCCTATCAGGAAGGCAGACTGACGACAGATGTAGGGAAATTTGATTGGTCCAGCAGTATGAGCACAGCTTAAAATGTGATAAAGAAGGAGCAGTAGAGCAAAGCATTATCCCCTGCACCTGGCTATTAACATCCAAACAGACAAATGATCATATATATATAGTCTACCTTATATTGTGTTAACATGTTGATGTAGATTCTCTGTGTCTTTAATTGCTGGTGTTAAACATGTGTACTGATTAGCTTAATAGTTTTCAAGTCATTGCCAGGAAAAAGCTTGCAAACAGAAAATTTTGTTAAAATGACTATGTTTCCCTTCTGCAGTTGTGGAATTGCACAATGTTACATGATGTGCAATGTGCATACGATATCTGCACAATGTGCGCATGTCTGCACAATGTGCGCACAGTAGTAAACTTGAAAAACTAAGCTATCACATATTTGTGCGCGCTTTGTGTGGTTCTATCACACAAATGTGCCATTCTATCATGGCAAATATACATTTAGAAATGATTTACAGATATGCGTGGGATAGGGTTTTTATTTTCTAAATATACATAAGTACAACTAAGTATAATTCCTAGTTAAGCCATTAAAATATAGGTTGGACACTTGAAGATATATCAGATACAGACTGAATTGTTAGATACACTCGTACTTTAAAATTTTTTTTCTTTTTTTTATTAAAGTGCCACACGTGACCAGCCTAAGAGTAGGTATACTCATTATACATTATACAAGGATCTAGGCAGTAGACTCAATGCTGTTCGTATTAGTAGTACAGGTTGTAGGTTCCTTAACTCTTCAGCTGGAAACCCAGGAGTATCCAGGGTGGCTGAGCAGTAGGGGAAATCAAGTCAGAAATATCAATCACAACAGCATCAGTGTACATACTTTTATTTATTTAGTACCATCTACCGGTTTCACCCTTGCCTCCCTTCATCATGATGTAATCACCGATCTATTTCAATATTTCTGTGATCGCTATTTTGTAATAACTACAAGAGTTTTCCATAATTTTTAAATTCATAATATTAGCCAACCATTTTTACCAAACAGCACAAAATGTGTGATCCTATCGCATAGTTGTGCGCACCATACAGTATAGCGTGTGCATGCACATGATGTATGCACAAGATGCACATTAAGTTTTTTTGTACGTTGTACATTACCACAACTGAAACAGAGAAAATATCAAAACTGAGATCACACCAATAGCAACAGCAGCACCAGGCTGATATTCATATGAAGTTTAAATGAGATCAGTTAAACAGATTTTGAGTTGCAACTGGAAAATAAGACAAAAAAACATCAAAATAGTAGTCGATATAAAAATTTGTTTTCAATGTCATGCTAAGTAAGTGTCAGGAAATCTTGTACTGAAATGAATCCCCCCCTAAACCCACAAGCCAGTTATTAATGCATTTTTCATATTCATCAAGATTCAAAAGAAAATTAGAAATTCTTGTGTAGATCTCTTAAGGAAACAAACCATGATGAGGGGTTAATCGCAATAAACAAGGATAACTTGATTTTACTTTGAAACATCTGCTGGTTTTTCGGGGCTTCTCCATCTTGTGGAAACAACATGCATGTGACACTGTGGTGTAACATACGTTTATAAATGTGAAACAATGAGGTCAAATCTGGATGCCATCGCTTCAAATGTTTACATAATACAACAATTAGTTTCACATCATATGAGTAATGAAACTTGTTGAAAGCCTTGAAACTCAGTTCTACACATGTCAGGAACACCAGGCAGCATTTTGAGGTCTGTAGCTTCTTTCCATTAGACTTCATAATTATACACTGCAGGCTGCGACTCAATGTTCCCTAGGCCAAGAATGCTTTACACACAATAACAAATGCCAACACAAGTAAAACTTCTCTGGCTTGTTAAACTCCCCATGCATATGTGATTAATTAATTAGGAGGTGTGCACATTCTGTAATCAAAATCCATTAAGTTAATTACAGAAGAACTGCTTCTAACAACTTGACATATTCAAGACACAAGCTTTTATTGCCTTCTCAAAATAGATAGAGATTTTGTGCTTCTTCACATTTTGAAACTCTGGAGAAAAAAAAAAAAGGAAAAAAACCATGTTGCAGCTGCATGATATGTTATAGTATAAAACTTATTACATCCACCTCTAAAAAAAAAAAAATATTTAGACGAATACTTTATCACAATAAACTCCGGTTGATAATAATACATCAAATTATCAAATTTAAGATTCAGTAGATGAGAACAAACACGCACTTGGCAGAAGGTTGATACATTTCTGGCTTAAAGAACGAGGCAGTTATATATCGCATTGTAAACCGAGCTCAATACCAAAATACTGTATCCTAATAAAGTGAAAGTTGGTCAACAATAAACCAGATGTAGTTTACAGACTTTGATATAAAATATATGGATATCAAGAGTTATTATTTCCAACATGCAACTGAAAATGAAATTCTATAAAAAGTTGAAAATCAGTCAAACAATCATACTCCAAATGATATACCCAATTTGAAGTTTAATTAAAGAGTCTGTGCATATACATATATCACGTTACATTCAAAAGGGTGAAAAAATATTAACTTCCATCAGTTTCTCGAACTGAACAGTGATTGTGTCATCATTTAAAAGAAATTTCAAACTTCCATCACTGATGAGTCAGAATTAAAACGCATTTGATTACTAAGTCTTCTTTTTTTAATGATTTCAAGGTTATACAGACATGTAAAATCTGATAGCCAAAAACTTCCATGCAAATAAGTTCTGCATCTAGACTTCCATTTAACACCAGCTTAGATGTGATGTTGTTGTCTATATCCGACCTTCAAAGTTTTTAACAGAAACAAACAGGAATATACAGTTCAGACAGTTGTGATCTGTTTTATGGTTTGAGCTGTCAGTTCCAATCACACTCACTATGAACAGAAGGAAACCATTGTCTGTTTTGTAGATCTTTACTGATAACCTTCAAATAACCTTGATATGTCAATGTTTTAACATATCAGTATATGTTGCC